GCGGTTGTAGAACCCTACAACTCTATTTTAACCACGCACACTACCCTGGAGCACTCAGACTGTGCCTTCATGGTGGACAACGAGGCCATCTATGACATCTGCCGCCGCAACCTGGACATCGAGCGCCCCACCTACACCAACCTCAACCGGCTCATCGGCCAGATTGTGTCCTCCATCACTGCTTCCCTGCGCTTTGATGGTGCCCTCAACGTGGACCTCACAGAGTTCCAGACCAACCTGGTGCCCTACCCCCGCATCCACTTTCCCCTGGTGACCTACTCCCCCATTGTCTCAGCCGAGAAGGCCTACCACGAGCAGCTGTCCGTGGCAGAGATCACCAACGCCTGCTTTGAACCCTCCAATCAGATGGTCAAGTGTGACCCTCGCCACGGCAAATACATGGCCTGCTGCATGCTCTACCGTGGAGAAGTGGTGCCCAAGGATGTGAACGCCGCTATTGCCACGATCAAGACCAAGCGCACCATCCAGTTTGTGGACTGGTGTCCCACGGGTTTCAAGGCAAGCCGGGAATGAAGCGGGGGAGGAGGGATTCGCATGCTGCCTTCGTACCTGCTAGAGGGGAGGTTCCTAGAGAGCCCCAGAGCATGGAAACAGAAGTGCTAGGGATGGGGAGAATCGGGCAAATCACGACTTTTTTATTTGACTTGAAAGCTTGCCCTTACAAAGGGAAAAGTAGGTTTCATGTCTCTTAGCCTGGCAGATAGGCACTCCCTAGGTTTGCCAGTCAGGTCAGGGAACCCGTCGTTCACATGTGCCAGGGACATACCCCCAGAATCCGTCTCCTCGGAAGGGAGTGCTTTTGGAAGCGCAGAAAAGCCTGCCATTCAGATAATGGGCGAGACGTGGGTCAGAAGTCTATGAATGCAATCTCTTTAGGAGTAATGAGGAAGAATCTGTTTATATGCCCCGTTCTTTCGTCAGTCTACATTCCCAGAGGGTACTGGGCATATGACCTAGTTTTAAGTTTTATGGGTTTTGTTCCAGTGTGCGCTTAGAAAGATTAAAGGTGGCAGCTGAGGCATTTAAGAAAAACACACAGCTTCCTTGCACTGTTGCAGACGTGACCACAACTGGAGGCGAGGCAGGGACTCCTGGTCATAAAGATAATAGCTGCTTGCTAGTTTTGAAGAGCTGTCCTATAGCTCAGAACTAGAAACCAGGGGTAGGAAGTCTGGGAGGCGGATTCTCCCAGCTCCATATTAGGAAAGCTTTAGCTACTCAGAGGAAGAGTAGACCGCCTTCAGGAAATAGTAAGCTTGCTCTCATTAGAGGCATTAAGGGGGAAGCTGACCTTTTTTTTTTTTTTCCCCAAACACTGAATATGGAATGTATTTATACGTTCTGAATAGAGCAATGTCTAAAGTAGATTTTCCCAAGGTTTTCTATTTTTTTTTAACTATTTTCTAAACTATAGGAAAGTGGAGAGATTAGTTAACCATATACCCACTACCTAGATTCAACATCTGACTCTGCTAGGTTTCCTTTATTTTTGCTTTGCTGATCCATATAAACTCATAGGTATTACACACAAGTTTGTTTTGTGTCTAACAAAATTAATAACACTTCTCTAAAGTAAGAATACCTAGTCAGTATTCAAACTTTCCCAATTTCCACAAATGTGCTCGATAGTCAGTGTTTCAAAGTCAGGGTATAATCAAGGATTAGGCATTATATTTGTCTCTTAAGTCTTTTTTTTTTTTTTTTTTTTTTTTTTTTTTTTTTTTT